AGGAAAAGGGATAGAGAGAGCTAGAAACATCAATTGTGAGAGGGAATCATTGATCAGCTGCCTCCTGCATATGCCAATGTGCTGGGGATGGAGCCTGCAACCTGGGCCTGGGCCCTGACCGGGAATGGAAACGTGACTCCTGATTTGTAGGTCGATGTTCAACCACTGAGCCTTGCCGGCTGGGCCCCTTTCCCTCTTAAAAGTGTCCCGGCTCAGACACTATTTCACAGGGTCGTCCTGCATTCACCAGCATGGGGAGGCCTTGAGGAGAGTGAAGGTGGGAGCCGATGTTTACCCCCTGGAGCCGGCAGGAGGTGGGAAAGGTTAAATCACAGCGAAAGCTTCGGGAAAGGCCTGGTCTGGTCCCCCTGGGCCACCTCTCCTCCCCCAGTTCCACAGCTGCTCCTTCCTTGAACCCAGGGCCGGCCAGCGCCTCTCCGGACCCAGGAGGAAGGAGCCCCTTGGCCATGAGTGAGAAGGGAAGGAGCATTCGCCCAGCCCTACTGTGTGTATTAGATGAACTCCTATCCAATATTGTTTTTCAACTCTTTCTAGCAGCCTGGGGGGACAGGTTTGTGCAGCCCCATTTGGCACCTGAGGACGCCGTCTCAGAGGAGTGATGTTGCTGAATCTCTGAATTCTGAGATAAAACAAGGGGGTCATGGATTGTGCCTGGGGATCCCAAGGAGGCCCGGCCAGTACCCTCCTTCCCCCCTCCCTGGAGGCAGCTTTACTGCACCACCCCCTCCCATTGGCACCCTGGTTTCATTAGACCCCACGGAAGGCACAGGGAGCCATAGGAACAGGAAACAGTAGCAAGGCATTAGCTCCAGAGCCTCTTATGGCCCCTTCCCAGCAGCACCTGCTCTCCCTAGATCCAGCCCTGGAGGGAGCCAGCCCTGGGGGACCGGGAAGGAACAGGGCCGGGGCTTCAGCCTTCCTGAAGCAAACGCATCATGGGGTGACTCCTGAGCATCAGCCGTAGTCACTGGGCGCACATGGTCCTGGCCCACACCTTCCAACTGAGGCCCAGAAGAGGTAGGACTTTGCAAAATCACTCTGTGGAGTAGAGGCAGGGTGAGGCCTGGAATCTAGGAGTCCGACCCCACCCAGGCTGGGCCCTCACATCACACCTTTCTGCTGTCCTCTCCACACCACAGCTGCTGTGGGGGAAATCTGTACTTTATAAAACCAACAAAACCCCAGCATCGGAAGACATGGTCCACATAAGTCAATCTACCCACTGAAGCCCCGGTTTTATGATCATACAACTGACCACGCAGTCAGCTACCAAGCATGGTGGACCATTGCTACCATCCCAGAGGAAGTCGGGGCACTACCTGGCAAAGGAACTACTGAGGAAACCAAACTGGGGAATGCTCAACCTATCTCCTCCCCTTCTCCCCTCCTCTCACTCCTCTGGTCTCACATCAAAAGAGAGATGGAGATGTGTGCTAATTTAAGGAAAGTGCCAGATGAAAATGCACTTCCTGTTATTATATAGGGAGATATTTTTAAATGCATATAAATAAACACTTTTAATTTGCTTTAATGTTCAGGCTTTATAGCTGCAGAGCATGTGTTTTGTTATACTCGTGAGTGGCGACTGTGAAGAATGAGGATCCAGATTGCTGGCCCATCTGGTGTGGTTCCGAGGAAGTGGTTCTGGAGCAGCCAGGCTAGGAGAGCCTTGCCCTCCAACGCTGCCCTGTCCCAGGCCTGCTGGGCCCCAGGCTCCGCATCCCATTAGCTGGGCCTCTCAGCCACCCAGAGCCAGGCTGGTTTTCTTGGAGCCCCACAGTCCTCTGTCCCCCATTGTAACCTGTTACACACACACACACACACACACACACACACACACACACACACACAGACACGGGCTGCTGGAGACTTCCCGTGTGAGAACACTCCACTCCCAGGGCTGGGAGTGGAGTGACCCTCTCTGCTCAGCCCACACCAGCCTCTGGGCAGTCAGTGATGGCCTCCACTAGACTGATGTTCTCAGCATGGCATGAAGGGTCTAGAAGGGAAGTCGTGGTGCTGATGGGCATGTTTCTGGGTCAGTAAGGCCGTGACCGGGCCCACGGCCTTCAGGGGAGGCCAGATCTGACTTTTGTCTGGCCCCCGGGTCTCCAGTATCAATGAGCCTGCCAACCAGCTAACATCCCTCAGCACTGGGGTCTATGAGGACATGAGAGGGCCCTTTCCTGAGTCTTACAACACCTGGTGGAACTCTCCAGGCGACAGGGAACTCACTGCCTCACAAGCCAGCCCGTGGCACGGCTTGGAAATTGTTTTAGAGAAGTTTCCTTTTTCACAGCATTCACCCCACTTGACAGGTGATCACCAACCCAACCTGAGGGCCCCACCCAACCCCTGGTCTCCCATGTAGGTAGCAGCTGCGGCTCACCCAGCCTGCCAGGCCTGGCCACTGACCTCCTGCCAGGGAGGTCTTCCGGTAGCTGGGGACAGGCTCGTCCCGCCTCAGACCTTCCCAGCCACCATCTGTCCTCAGCATTGGGGGTGGGGTAGTTGAAACATCAGTCAGGCCTGGCAGCCTGTCACACGGGGATGCAACAGCTCTATGAGCAGGTGGCAGAAACCCAGAACTTACTATGTGCTAGGCCCTGTTCCGAGATAGGTTAGAGCAGGGGTGGGCAAACTTTTTGACTCGAGGGCCACAATAGGTTCTTAAACTGGACCAGAGGGCTCGAACAAAAGCATGGATGGAGTGTTTGTGTGAACTAATATAAATTCAAAGTAAACATCATTATATAAAAGGGTACGGTCTTTTTTTTTTTTTTTTTTAGTTTTTTTCATTTCAACAGGGCCGAATCCGCCCCCGGGGCCGTAGTTTGCCCATGGCTGGCAAACTATTTTTTTTTTCTCCATTTGACAAATGAGGAGACTGTGGCTTAGAGAAGCTAAGTTACTTACCTGAACTCTCACAGCTTGGACGTAGTTAGGCTGGAGCCCAGGGCACCTGACAAAACCTGCTACTAAACACTGAGTCACAGCTCAAGTGTGGCCCTCCAGCCCACAGAACCCCCCACTCGAGCGCAGGGTGTCCACACACCTGGAGTGCCAGCAGGTGCTAGTAGGGGGCTCCTGGGTCGTGAAGCATGGGGAATGCTGGACTAAAGAAGATTCAAGGGGTGTCTTTGCTGTGGGACTTGTCAGAGCCTTTGCTGTGCTGATGCACCACCGTGACTCTCCCAGAAGGGCCGAGTCTGTAGGACTTTCCAAACTTACTTGACCAGAGCCATTTGTTTTTGGTAAACCAGCTCCCCAGTTTTAGATGAGGCACAAGGCCCAGAGAAGGGAAGTAGTTACCTCAGGTCACTCAGCAAATGTTTTTGATGATCAGAAAACTATATTCACTGCCAGCCACCCTCCCACCAACCGTCTTCTGCTCCTGGGACCCTGGTCCTTTCCCTGGTACACCTGGTTCCCTGCACCTTCAGTGAGGCCGCCTCTCCCACGTCACCACCAGGAGGAGAGAGAGGAGTGCCTGCTGCCTTGCAGGGCCCTGTGTGTGGGAGGGATCCACCCCGTGCCTTGTTGTCATGTGCCCCAGGAGCAAAGGGCAGGCTGTGCACACCTTTTATGGCTGGGCCACCTCCCAGAACAGTAAACAGAGGGGCAGGCAGCTGGCACTGGAGCCCTCCAGGTAGCAGACTCCTGGCCACCTCTGAAAGGGAGTTGAGAACAGCAGCTTTTCTCAGGAGTTTAAAAAATTATACATTACGTTCATACAGCTCAGCTTCTTTATCATTCCTCCCTTCTTGGCCTGACAGCACCCACTAGTCCTTTAGGCACCTGTTCAGACCTCACCTCCTCCAGGAAGCCTTCCAGGCCCTCCAGGAGAAGCGCAGTCTCTGAATTCTCTGCTCTCTGAGGCCCAGAGCATACTCAGACTGGAGGCTTCTGGGGGGCACAGCCATGCCTGGCACGTGCGGGTGCCCAGTGAATTTTGTAAAATCCTGAGCTGAAAGTGTTTGAAAAATTCAAAAGACTCTGCTCTATTGAGTCCGATGATTCTGCTTACAAAATGGACTTAAAATTTTACAGGCTCTCATAGACTTACTCTAACAATGTCCTGTTTTAATCGTTCAAATGCATTTTAAAGGTGACCTTGTTGTAGGCCAACGGAGGCTGTAAGGGCTTATGCAACTGTCAGGAAAGGGGGCGGATGATTTATACTTAACCTTTCCTTTAATGCTATGTAAAATGATTTTTATACACCTTTAAAAAGAGGAAAAAAAGTTTATTCTTGAAGCTGTATCCAAGAGGTTCCACTCTATGTACAACACTTGCCCAGCTGTGAGCTCTACTTGGTCCAGAGAAGTCCTCTGAGGGCCCAGGGACAGCCTGGCGAGGTGGGACTTGGCAGGGAGGGCTCTGACCTCTGTCCCCCTCCAAGGGCCTCCCCCACCCTGGGGCCCCATTGAGAATACTAGTGAGGGGACACGGCTCTGCAACCCGGAGGGGACAGCCATCAGTCTCTCAGGCCCATTCCTGTGGGCCTTTGCTCTGCGTCAGCCTGGAGAGGTTCAGGGTGTGTTAGGATGGGGGCAGGTGGAGGCGAGGCTGCAGGACCAGGCAGGTAGGAGCTGATCACATTCCTCCCCACAGGCCAACATTCCATCTTCCCTCAGCTCCATCTCCTTTCTCCAGGATCAGTCTAGTCCCTATAGCAGCCTTCTGCCCTTGAACCTACGGAGAAGGAGATAGGGATGGGGACTTATCTTGACTCCCTCACCCAGCCCTCTAGGGATGGAGACCTCCCACCCTGGGTTCCTTTATCCCTCTGAGGCCTAGAAAAGGAAAATGTCCTTATCCAAAGAGCTTGCTGCACAGATTGGCCAAGGACACACAGGGGCTGTGTGGGTGACTTGTCCAAGGTGACTCAGAAGGTCAGTGACAGGGCTGGGACTCAGACCAGGCCTCCTGAGCCCCAATGGGAGCCACGTTCCCAGCATCTGAGTCCCCAGGCCCCCAGCCCACAAGGCTGGGCCGGGGGCTAAGGCAGATACTCCTCCTTGACAGGCATTGGGGAGGAGGCGCCCAGGAGGCCAGTGGAGCTGGGACACAGGCCCCCCAGGGGCGGCCCAGTGGCAGTGGGGGTGACTTCGTGGGCTGGCAGTGGTGGCTGTGGAGGCTGCTGCTGCTGCTGCTGCTGCTGCTGTTTCTTCTTGTTCACTTTGCGCTCCTTTGCCCTCCGATTTTGGAACCAGATCTTCACCTGTGGTTGGAGAACAGAGGTGGGTGGTGCGGAGACCCGGTGACAGTGAGAGGAAGGGAGGGAGGACAGCTGAGCTCTCACTTCTTGATGTGGCGTTTGTGGCCTCCCTCCTGCTCCCGATACCCAGACCATTCGTGGACCCTGAACACATTCTCCTTCCTAAAACGTGCTCCCCTACTCTCATGACAAGCTCTCCTGTAGCCTTCTTCTTCCCCATCTCCCAAGGCCATACTCTAACGCCCCTCCTCCAGGAAGCCCTCCCTGTTCTGCCTGTGACTACTCCCTTGTCTGGATTTAAACAGCACTGATCATAGCCGGCTTTGGTCTGTAGCTAATCAGATCCCCTATTTCCCTATTGGGAGTTAGGGATGTTGGGTTTCGTTGAGGCAGGAGAGGATTTGGCAGTGGCTCAGTTTCTGCTGTGCTGTGTGACCATGGTCAGGAGGCTCAACCTCTCTGTTCTCCTCCTTTGACTGAGCTCCGTAATCTGCCTGACAACCTGGAGGTCAGATTCCCAGTGCTGCTCCTGTGGCTGAGGTGGGGGTGCCACACACCTGCCGTTCCGTTAGCCCCAGGTTGGCAGCCAGCTCCGATTTCCGCCGGATGGTGATATAACGGCTGTAGTGGAACTCCTTTTCCAGCTCCAGGCGCTGGTGGTCGGTGTAGACCACGCGGTACTTGTCTTTGGTCCGGGTCTTTCCTGAGAAGCAGAGGGACCAGGAGGGGAGGTGAGTGTGGAGGGGCAGCCTGCAAAAGGCACCGGCAGGGTCCCAGCCCTTAGAAGAAGGACCCTGAGGTGGGGAGGAAGGTACACCCCACCCCTGGGGGTGACAACCATTCCCCCCAGGCTCAGGCTTGACGACTTCTTGAGAGGCAAGCACTTTGGGAAGGTGCTGAGGCACAGAGAGGGGAAACAACTCTCTCAGGGTTACACAGCAAGCTGCTGGTGGGGGTGGGTTTCAATCCTGGTCTGCTGACCCAGAGCCCTACTCTGACCACCAGCTCCTCCAGCTTTAACCCAGCAGCTTTGGACGTGGCTGCATGACAGGAAGTCCGGGAGCCTGTGGGAAGCAGCTTCCAGGGCATCCCTGACCATGGGAGTCAGAAAGCCTCGGCGTACAACCTGCATGTTTAATATGTTCCCCAGGTGGTTCCATTCCAGGTCCCAGACCACAGGTGTGAACACCAGTGAGCTGCAGGGACATCTGGCAGGCAACGGCAGGTGGAGGCTACTGATGGCAGCTGTGCCTTTCTCCTGTGCAGAGGAGAGCAGGGAAGAGCCACGGTAGGCAGGGCGGACGCTTGCTGGACTGTCCTGGGTGTAAGGCACCTCGATTCCTGTTGAACGTGGCTGCTGGTGACCCTTGAGGACCTAGAAGTTACCTTAACAGGCCCTAGTCCTGCCCAGCCAGCGTGGCTCAGTGGTTGAGCATCAACCTATGAACCAGGAGGTCACGGTTCAATTGGCCAGGTTGCCGGCTTGATCCCCAGTGCAGGGCGTGCATGAGATACCAATCAATGATTCTCTCTCATCATTGATGTTTCTATCTCTCTCTTCTTCTTCCTTCCTCTCTGAAATTAATAAAAATATATAATTTTTTTAAAAAGAGGCCCTAGCCCTGAACACCAAGCCCTGAGCTAGGGGTGAATAGGGGTTGATCTTCCTGAAGCCATC